TTCACCTGCGTCGGAGCACGTGCTGAGGTAGTGATTCCCGTCGAGACGCTAACTCCTTGTATTAGCCCGACCAAGGCCTTCAGAACTTCAGGTTCTATCTTCCCCAAAAGTTCTAATCCTTTACCTTCCGTATTATCTGTCTCTTGACATCTTCAATCACAAGGATAAGTCTATACCACACAGAACACACATGACTTTTCATCTAGAGTTGTTCTAAACAGAGAATTCTCCGACTGTTCTCCCACGCAGAGTCAAACGCTTTTTTCCCCTATTCACGCTACGCCTACGCCATCCTCTCCCTTGCTTATGAGAACCACAAAGATCATTCTCACCACTCGTACCCGTAAGCCATGAATACCTTTTTCTCCTTGTTGCAACTGTAAGGAGCCGTTTGATCATCTACTTCCTCCCACGATCATTCCCACATGTAGGACCGTAGGATCATTGCGTCTAAAACCTAACCACAAAGCCGACTTCCTCTCGCGATCAATCCCGCACGCAAAATCGCAGGATCCTTGCGTCCGAAACCTTGCCATAGAACTGCTGCTTCCTTGCTACTCCACTGTTCTTTCAGTTTCTGTTGCACGTTGCCTTCTTCTACATCGCCTCGCACAGTGTCGCTCCTCCACGCTCGAATTGGTAAGCCGTAACCCACACTAAACGCACTGTAGCAACGACCAACGTTTGGGCTCTGATACGGTAAAGAATTAATCTCTCTGAAAAATCTTCTTACTTCATTAACACTTGGGCTTATATTGAGCCTTCCAATATTTACAAATAAATTCTTAGATTTCTTCTATTTACAAATAGTTCATTAGATACAAATCTCAACAGATGGGATATAAAATCATGTGTTAAAGAATAGGAAGAAGCTAATATGGGTAGATCAAAATTAATTAATGACTAGACCACAGGCAGAACATTAAATAAAGCACGGTGGGTAATATAAAAAATCAAGCGCATGGATATTGTTTCATTGATTACAACTTTGTTAAAACTAATTGAAATTGCTTATGTGACTCCCATTTTTATCCATCGTTTCCATTTGCCTGTATTGAATTCAAATTTGTCTGAGAATCACCCCTCGAGGGATTAGAGAATAAGAATAGAGAAAGAGATGGAGATAGAGAATGAAATGAAAAGTGCACAATAATGAACAGTAAAACCTCTTGTCTAACCCTAATTTATGAAATGGTCTCCCTAAACATAAGGGAGAGTACAATATGGTGATGTTATATATTAATGCCCATGATTTAATGAGTGTCATACATGGTATTCTTGATATATATGAGCCTATCGCTCTGTTGGGGGTGTTCGTGGGAATGTTGGTGATATCGAGGAACTAGATCTTTTCTCGGATCGGATCTATCGGAAGGTAGGCTATTGTATTGAGTCGGCTTTCTTGTAATGGTTGGTTCGGATGTCTATTTGTCTCGTATCAGTTCGAATGGTTCGGGCTCTAATCACTTGGTCTTCTTTTTGTTCTTCTCGTGACTCGGTCGGTTTTGGCTATAGCTCGGATGGTTGCATCCGGTTGGATGGGATAAGTCTTCTGTTGATGGGTCCTACTTTGTCCTACTCTCATCCTCTAGACCATTAGATTTCTTCAGGATTAGCGCTAGCACATTCTTGGTGTACAGCTGTTGTTTGTATACATTGAAAACCCTGATAAATATTTAATACCGGGGTGAAAAATGTTTATTGCAATCCTTTATTATTATTATTTTTTTCATATTTTGTTGCGTCAACAAAACCATATTTGGCTTTCTGCAGGAACTTTTACAGTTGATATTTCAAACACAAAAAAGCTTCTAGAGGGAGAAAGAGGCGAGATCATCCGCCAAAAAGGCATAACTGTAAGCAAGATTCTGTGCACCATTTTAATGAGAACTTATATCTGAAGTACTTCATATTTTTATAGATTGCTGAAGTATTCCGTTTCTGTATAAAATTCATGTTGCTTATGACCATGTTAATGCCCATAGGTTTTTTTCCAAGTCTTCATGCTTCTCATAAATATTCTGCGCTGCAAACCCAAGCAAAAGACTCAAAAGCTTTCACCTTATCTTATGTTTTCTTGTGTTTTATACGATCTGTATGACTTTTATTTTGTTTCCTTGATTCTCGCGGTCCTTTACTGTAGATTATTTATGTTTCAGGTGGTGAGCGAGTCTGGATTATTTACACCTCAAGATATTACGTTTGTTCAAGATGCAGGCGCCCATGCGGTAATTCCTTTAGTTTTGTACTTGAGTTATTAGTTTGGCAGTAATCATTAGATTCGAGGATTGTAATCCTCAAGTAGGGGTGTAACCGAGTCAAGTTGAGATCGAGCCACCTCTAGTTTGAGCTTCAGCTTAATTCTACGATTTCAAATCGGCTCGTGAGCTGGCATATATTTTATGAAGGAGAAAATGATTTTGATTCAACAAACCGTTAGAACAAAACAACAACTAAATCTTTTATTACAAGGAAGTGAAATAGAAATTTTAACCATTATTAATGATTTATGTTTTAAGTCCATTTTGTATTAATATTTGTTCAATTAGCCTGCTCACAAGCTAATGAATTGAATCGATCAGGACTTCTTAGTTCATTGAGCTTACCTTGTGCGCCATCTTCTAGCTAAACCTGAGTTGGCTCACAATTCATCTCGACCGGGCTTTGGTTAAATACGGTTGATTATCAAATGGATATCGAAATTTTTGTTGGTTTTAGTCATGAAAACTACTGCATCCATTGTTATTGCAGGTTTTGGTGGGGGAATCCCTAATAAAAAAGGAAGACCCTGGAATGGCGATAGAGGAGGTTTTTGGGATAGATGTTTCTCTCAATTCTTACTTGTAAGATTTCTATGGATGCCAATCAGAGCGTTGGTGAGAGCTTTGGATTCTAATGCCAAGGTTTTGAGTTTATAAATAAGTCCCGGCCATACAAACTTGACGGGAAAAGCATTTCTTACTACTAATTATTTGTTTTGCCAATCATGCTTTATTTTCATCCTTAATTAAATTTGCGCTCATGGGAAATATATGGAGTCTGTCTGCTTCTTTACATCGTTCTATCCTGCCAATCATCATTGCAAGGTGCTGTTTTGTTTGTTGCAGATGTTTTGACATTATAAATGTGCAGCAATCACTAAGGTAAAGATGAACTTTACATTTTTATAGGGGAGAGAAATTAAGAAAAAGGTATTAATCAGTGATCGTAACGGTATTGAAGAATTTCAAATTCAAGGAGAATTTTATGCATTTATTTAATTTATTTTTATTTTTATGGCAGATTGAGCAACCTCTAAGTAGGATCACAGGCTTGTTTAAAAAATATAAATATAAAATATGCATAAAATATATTAAA